GCCCAATTCATAACCCACTTCGCCACCAGGGCTCCTCAATAACCTCCCTACTCCTTGGTTGATATCAAAAGGAGACAGCAGGTTCCGAGCTTTTGCACAGGTTGGCACAATCAACTAACTCACGAGGGTCCGAATGACAGCCAATCATGGGAACGGCACAGGATTGGACAAAGCAGCAGTTGTTGTTTTTTGCCAGGGGTGTCCATGAATCAAGGGCCAGCTAGACTACAGGTGACAACAGTTAACAGGGTACATGGGAGACAGGTGTGATAAAAATCATTATCAGTGGCACGTGGTAGAGAAAGTGACCTGAAACAATCCTGTCTGTAATCTGTGTCTGAAGTCTGGGAAGCAGTGCTCTACAACGCAGGGCAGCAAACTGCAGCCTCTGGGCCAAGTCTGGCGCCCTGCCTGTTTTGGTAACTAACGTTTTATTGGCGCCCAGGCACATCCATTCACTCACGTGGTATCTGGAGGCTCTGTCATACCCCACGGGTTGGCTTGGGAGGCTGTGATAGACCCCATAGGGCCTCCAGGGTCTCGTACACTTGCTATCTGGCCGCTGGCAGGAAACATTTGCTGACTCCTGGTCTACAGCATGCCAGGAAGGATGTCACAACTCTATAGCTAGGTGTCTGGTTTGCCCAGGTCGGGAGGCCAAAGGACAGGCTGTTCTCCTGCAACACCTACTCCCAGGCACGCTCCTCCATGTTCCCCTGAGGAAGCCACTTCAAGTGCACGCGCATGGGCATGTCTCTTGCAGGAGTTACACTCCGTCAGCAGTGCCATTCTCATTGTTATACTGCCCCTGAGCTTGACCACACCCTCAGGGAGAGGCCTTGGTCATCTCCGCCTCTCCCTTGGCACCTGGCACGGTGCCTGACAGACAGGAGAAGTCCGTGAGGTGTATTTATACCCCAGAACTGGCAAGAGGACTTTTACGCAGCATATGTTCATCTTAAACATTCCCCTGGCTGTAAGTGTACAAAACAATGACCTGCCTTGTTCATCTTTTTAAAAAAGGCTTCTGTCTTCTGGGCTTTTCCTCCCAAGCAGCACCAAGGACATTAACAACACGCAAGACTCCCTCTCAGAGGCCGATGGCTAGTGTTCCATCATGATAGCTTTGCCGGAACACTGGACTGTAAACACTTGATAAGGAGCCATGGGAGGTCTGGTGGCACAGCGGGTAGGCACTCTGGCTGCGAACAGAAAGGTCAGCAGTTCAAGCCGACCAGCCATTCCGAGGGACAAAGATGGTGCAGTCTGCTTCTGTAAAGAGTACAGCTCTGGAAGCCTTACAGGGCAAGTTTACCCCATTCCACAGGGCCATGCTTAGTCCAATTGACGGCTTCCAGGAGGTTGGTTTGGGTAAACCTCTCAAGCAAAGAATGGAGGGCGTTTAGTAAACAGAGCTTCGAAGATAAAACTGCGATATGTGAAGGTAATTACAGGGACTACCTGAGTAATCTCTCTTAAATCATGAGACCCATCTGTGAGGTGCTTTCAGCTCTTTAGGCCCTTCACCTAATTAGAGTGATTGTAAGTGAACACACAGTGCTTGTGCTCTGATGTCGTCAGACAAGGAAATTCGCCATCATCAAGCCAAGAGAGATGGCCTCGTGCAAAGAATAAAGAACACCAATTAAGTCAGCCAGCGTATATGAAGTGATCATCTCCACAGGCCACAAACGGTCAAACCCAAACTCACTGTCATCGCGTGATGCCAACTCGTAGTGACCCTATGGGGCAGCGTCCAACCGCCCCTGGGGGCTTCCTGGACTGTCACTCTTTACCTGAGTAGACGGCCTCAACCGGCCACAGGAGGGCCCACAGTTTCATGCGTTCGTGAGTGCCCGCACTGATACAAAGGTGGCATGGTTCTAGGACCTTCTTCCATAGATCCTAGGTGTGGTAACACCGTTGGTCTCGCGATGTTCACGATAGGATTGAGGCAGGGACATTGGGCAAGTCTGGTGGTCAATTAAGGGTGGGGTACACTGAGTTCAAAAGAGCTCCAGCATTCTCTTCCTTGGGGGGTTCTTACTGAAACCCCAGCCCACGGCCTTCAAGCCCATTTGACTCACAGTCATCGTGTGTATGGGGCATTCTTAGAGCCCACCAAATGTCTCCACACGGTCTAGTGTTTCCTCAGAAAGAAACAGAAAATTGCCATGGGACCCAACAATTCCACTGCTAGCAATATATCCCAAAGACCTGAGGGCGGGAACCCCAACAGGTCCGTGTACACTCATGCTCAGAGGAGCATGCGTCACCAAGAGCCAAAAGATAGGAAGCAACCACGCGTTCGCCAACGGAAGACCAGATAAGCACCACACGGTGTACACATACGCCGGAATACTCTTCAGCCGTGGAGAGAAATGAAGCTCCGACACGTGCCCCCACCTGGAGGAACCCGGAAAACCCTGGTGAGGGACCTAAGCCCAACACCAAAGAACAAATATTACAAATGGTCTCGCCTGTGTGAAACAGAGGCCAAAGCTTACCCCTGGGGAGCAGGGGCAGAGGGAGGGAGAAATCGGGGTATGACTGCAGGGGGACTTAGTGGTTACCAAACGCGAGGGAAACACTGGAAACAGAGTGTGCTAATGGTTGCCTGGAGCTTATAATGATTGTCACCGAGAGATTGGTTACAATGAGAAATGTTTTATGTATATATGTGTCACCCCAATTAAAAAAAAAAAGGCTTTAACGTTTCCCCACAACCAGTTGTTCATTCACAATGGACCTCACCAGACCAGCGTCCCACAGAGCGTACTCAGAGAGACATTATTTGGACCAACTAACTCCAAAGCAGCATTCAAATACGCTGGTCAATTTTTAACAACCGGCTCTCCCAAGGAGGGAAATAGAAGCCCTGATGTTTGCCAATTACCAGGGTGAAAATCCTCCCACCACGGCTGATCCCAAATGATCGGCGTGGCCCACGGAGCGCAAAGTTGGAAGGAGATGGCGCATCACGGCTTCACGAGTGGGGAGAAAAAGTGAACTCCCGGCTGGGAGAATGCTGCAGATGAGCAGCTTGCGCGGATCCATCCCGTCTACCGACTCTGATTCCCCTTGTGGCCAATGTGCCACGGAGCATTAAGAGCTGAGCTGGTGGTGGTTGGCTTCTGTCGCCTTGAATCCACCAAGTCCACGCCGATGCACGGCGCCCATCTGTGCAGCAGAAAGAAGCCTTGTCCAGCCCTAGGCCGCCTTCCCAGTCACCTCTGAGTGCGTCCCTGTGGCTACTGTACCATCCATCGCACCGAGGGTCTCTCTCCCGCTCACTGCTTTCTATGCCCCCAACCAAGGTCTTCCTCTGGCCACGGATCCCTCTGCACACTGTGTCCAAAGCCAGCCAGCCGCCCGTGAGGAGATGAGCTAGCCAAGCAGAAGCAAAACACATCGGGCACAAGCTTACAAGCCCTCTTCAAGAACCCTTTTGTGAGCGCATTCTACCACCCCATTTAGACTGACATGTCCAGCAAGTATGAAGGGACTCGTGCGTTGTTCCCGGGGTTGGGGGGAGGGGGGAGGATGGTCATCCACGAGAAGCCGTGGGGTCGAGGGATGGGTCTGGATGCTCGGTGCTTACCTGTTTGGCTTGTTGATAAATGACCCCAAACTTGAACGTGTTGTTGACGTCATGTTCATCATAGGACACAATCATGTGGGAAGCCTGGAAAACCAAGGGGAGGCACGGAGGAGATTGCTTGTTCCTCGCAAGGCAGGCGAGGAGACACGTGGGAGGGAGGAAAGACTGCTTGCGGGGAGACTGTGCCTCTGATAGGAGACGTTCACCAACGTGTAGAGGAAGGTGGAGAAATACAACGATGGAGAAGACGCTACGCCAAAGGCCTTTGTTAGCCACGAGCGCCAGGGCATCCTCCAGCAGTGCCCCCTCCCCTAAGTCACCCATTCCATCTCCATGCAGAGATGGGGGCACAGGGAATCCAGTAGAACTCAGGGAGCTGACTCCCACTGAGGCCTCCTTTGCGGTGTGGAAAGGGAAGACGTGTCAATGTGTCGGTGAGGGTGACTCTCGTTCTAGTCCCACCTCTAATCAGCAGGCATTCTGAACAAGTCCCTGTAGTCACGGGGGAATGGGGAGGGAGTACCAGGGACACTGTCAGAGGGAGTGACGCGAAAAACGACAGTCTATACAATGTGCGCACAGCGTTCCAGCAGAAACATATTCTCTCGTATTCAAATACTCCTGGAGTTCTTTATAACAACAAAAACATTTTGGGTAAGCTCAACTAATCTGTTTCAATATACCTACGGGGTGAACATTCTAATCTCATTTCCTTTTGCAGCCTTCTAAGACTGTCTGGTGGGAGCGGTCGCTATGCTCCGTGACAATGCCACTCCGGATCACGGGTGTCATCTGCATGCGCGACAAGCATGTGCTTTTGTTTCCTCTGATGCTGCTGTTTTCCAGCCTCTGATTCTGTCCAGTACTCTGCTGTGTTAGCTACAATATTGTGATACTATTTGTGACCCTCTATCAGTAACAAGGAGCCCTGAGGGGGCTGCTAAGTGCAACGTCAGCAGTTTGGAACCCCCAGTCGCTCCTCAGGAGAAAGAGGAGTCTTTCTGCTCCCATAAAGATTGTCCGTCTTAGCAACCCACAGGGGCGGGTCTAGCCCATTACGATGACTTGGAATCAACTTGGTGCAGTGAGTTTGAGTTTTGAGTATTGATATCAATAATTCTTTTGAGAAAGAAGTAATCATTTTAAAAAATGAGAAGGTAAACAAGCGGCCATCTAGCTCAGAAGCAACAAAGCCCACATGGAAGAAGCACACCAGCCTATGCGATTACGAGGTGTCAAAGGGATCAGGTGTCAGGCATCATCAGAACAAAAAGTCTTATCATAGTGAATGAGCGGGGGAGTGCGGAGTGGAGACCCAAAGCCCATTTGTAGGTCACTGGACATCCCCTTACAGAAGGGTCTTGGGGAGGAAATGAGCCAGTCAGGGTGCGATGTAGCAACGATGAAAAATACAACTTTCCTCTAGTCCCTAAATGCTTCCTCTCCGCAACCACTATCATGATCCGAATTCTATCTTGCAAGTCTGGCTAGACCAGAGGATGTACACTGGTACAGATAGGAACTGGAAACACAGGGAATCCAGGACGGATGATCCCTTCAGGACCAGTGGTGTGAGTGGCGATACTGGGAGGGTGGAGGGAGAGTGGGTTGGAAAGGGGGAACCGATTACAAGGATCTACATGTGACCTCCTCCCTGGGGGATGGACAACAGAAAAATGGGTGAAGGGAGACGTCGGGCAGGGCAAGATATGACAAAATAATAATTTATAAATTATCAAGGGTTCATGAGGGAAGGGGCAGCAGGGAGGGAGGGGAAAAAATGAGGAGCTGATGCCAGGGGCTTAAGTGGAGAGCAAATGTTATGAGAATGATGAGGGCAATGAATGTAGAAATGTGCTTGACACAATTGATGTATGTATGGATTGTGATAAGAGTTGTATGAGCCCCTAATAAAATGATTTTTTTTAAGTTAAAAAAATAAAAAGAAAGAAAGAATGAGAAAGTTAAAAGAGGCTTCCACTCAGGTACATATAATATTGTACCTAATAATACTGTGACTCACTATAGAAAGGTTTTCGAAAGCAAGTCTGTGGTAAGTGTTCACATAATCTAAGAAATATTACTCTTGCGTAATGTACAACTCTGTCACATATTATTCTGTGATTAAAATTGATTTTTTAAAATTACAGAGGATTCTGCAGGGAGCTCTGGTGGCACAATAGGTTACAAATGGGACTTTGAGCCGCAAAGTCAGTAGTTCAAAACCACTCCATGGCCGTGAGCTTGCATTTCTGAAGGATTCTGCATGGTCTGGAACAGGAGGAGGCCCATGGGGTGGGGGTGGGGGGCTGCCTGCACACGGTGATACCAACCCTGAGGACATGGCTGCCCCTCATCGGTGAAAGGAGAGGTCTCTGAGGAGACCACTCGAGGGAGGCACCTATCCTAGTCTAATATACGAAGACAAACTCTGACCCCTCGCTCTGTGTCATTTTCTACCTCGCTTCTAAGAGTCGCCCCGGTGGGTCAGTAACACTAAGCTCTAGCCAGGAATTCACTGCTTGGACTGTGCACTGAACTTCTCTGAGCCTCAGACGCCCTCCATCCTATGGAGATGTGCAGGAGGGAAGAATCCTTGGAAGCTCGCAGGTAAGGTGCCTAGCACAGACGACAACATCGTCGTCATCATCATCATCTACAACACGAAGTCAACAAGGACTACCGCAAAGCCATAGACGCCATTGTTAAACCAAAAGATAAACACGTGAACCTGCTGCTCCTCCGTGGGGCTCCACACCCTGCTCCTGGTGGGGCCATCTTCCAACCCTGCCCCAAAGACTGCGCTCTGTGATTGACACCACCGCAAAACAGCCTTTGCGCCTCCCCGAGGAACGTTGTTGTTTTTGAATGTTCTTGAAGTTTGGCGGTGGGGGTGGGTAAAGAAGTCTGAAGGGGCAAGGTCAGGCCTGTAGGATAAATATGGTAAGGTTTCCCAATGAAATTCTTAGAGGGCAACCCTCGTGACCCTTACAAAACGAGCAGGTGCCCGGTCTGGATGGAAACCAGTCTCTCTGTGCAGTTTGCCTGGCCTATATCTCCTGGATGCCGTCTTCAAGTTCATAACATTTGCTCATCATAGGCCCCTGCGATTGTCATGTGCCCATCAGAAAAACTTGTCGGGATCACCCTTTTGGTCCCAAAGGCAGTTGTCACCACCTTCTGGGCTGATCTCTCTGCCTTGATTTCCCCGGGAAGCTGCTGCTTAGACAGCGCCCTTTTCTCCTGAAGGCACCCTTGCAAGGCTAACGCATGTGCTCTAAGAGAACGCATCTGCCGCCCTCCCCTGTTCACAGAGATGGGTTTAAATCCATTTTGTTTGGAATACACCCAGGCATGTATGAATCGGAACGCAGGTAGCAATACCTTCGGACTTACCCTCCTATAAAACTCTCCAGGAAAAGCAGAGCTGAACCAGCTCGTTGGAAAAGGGAAGGTTTGGGAAGCTGCTGGGATTCCTTCTGTCACGGTGGACTGTGTGTGTCAACTTGGCCAAGCTGTGGTTCTCAGTGGTTTTACCAGACACGAGACTAGCTGCTGTCCCGTGATGTAATCATCTTCCATAATCTAATCTAATCTAATCTATGCAGTCCTTCAGTTGAAAGGGGAGTTCCTTCCGGTATGGACAGCATTTAAATTCCCCAAACCAAGCGCACTGCCATCTAGTGGATTCTGACTCAGTGACCCTAAAGGACAGAGCAGAACTGCCTCTGTGGGTTTCCAACTCTCTCTCTCTCTCTCTCTCTCAATTTGGTACTCTTGCCATCGCCTGGCCTACAAATTGGCGGACCAGAGCCTACGGAAATTTCCCGCTTGCCACTTGATGGTCTGAATCTGTTTCTCTCTGGTCCAATTTCTCTACGTTGAAGAAGACTAAAGAGAGAGTGCGCTTCGGCCGCATGCTCTGCTGGGGGAACAAACAGTAAGTTGGGGCTGAGTTGTTGGCTGGAACAGGCAGCCCATGCTGGTGGCTGCTGGAGGGGTTGGACACTTCTCAGCCTGGGCTCAGAGCCGGGAGAGAGCCCTCTACTCCTGCCTGGGATGAGTCAAAGGGGAGAAGCAGCTGCCCCACCAGGGAGCGGCACCAGGCGATGGAGACCTTCCAGGGCACATTCTAAACCCTGTGACTTTTAAAAAACACACACAGATCTCCACCAGATTAATGTCCCAGCTGGACTAAGCAGTCCTTTAAATATAAAGAACATGAAATACAGCTGCTCCCCCATTATTGCCCGGGCCAGGGGCCTCCCAAGTTACACAGAGAGCGATGCAAATGAACGTCCTTTGGGCCTCTTGGTAGATATGATTTGACAACAAAACCGGCCAAAGGTGCAGTTAAGTGAGGCTGTTGTGATGGGCGATCATGTTTGATTAAACCTCACTAATTCAGCTTTAATTATAAAGGCTCAGTCGATCTGCAGGATAGGAAGTGTTCAGGGGAAGTGCAGCATTTTCCGGTAAGTGCTCACAGACGCTCACATGGCTAAAAAGAAGGCCGTAGAGAGCAGCAGGGCTCTGGCAAGTGCTCCCTCCAGGGCAGACTCTGTTATTAGCTCATCAAGGGCGGGGGGGCGTGGCTGTCGAGTAGCTGCAGCTCATGCAAACCCCAAGTGCGGCAGAACAAAAGGCAGCCACCGCTTCATGACCACTGGTCTGCTCACGTCCACCCGAGCAGAGGCTTCTGGGTATTCTGAATGCCTTCCAAGGTAGGGGGCTCAGCTTCCAACACAATCTCAGACAAGATTCCACTGTGAGCCAGAGGGTGTTCAGGGGTGGACTCTTGGGCACGGATCTCCAGGCTTTTCTTTCTAGTCTCTTAGTCTGGAACCTCTCCCGGAGCCCGCTGCCAAGGTCACGGCGTCAATCCATCCCATCAAGGGTCATGCTCCTCATTACAGTAACATCCCAGTGGTGCGGGGCGGCAAGCAGCAGCATGGACCCTTAGGTGGGGCATTCTATGACTCCCGTGGCAAACTGAGAACGGTCCAGGCATTAGTTCCAGGGATGTTGTGGCCAGGTCACTGACCTCTCTTCCCTACCATACACGGCCACAGGTGTGCCGCCCCCTGGGGCCACAGCCAGAAGCTCAGACGTGCCACTGGACCGTGACTTCTCGCTCAGATGGAACCTACTGGCTGGAGAAGAAACAGCGCAGCACCGGGTCTTCTGTGGCCCGTTGCAAGCAGCTCACTGCCCAGGGTGATTTAAATCCTGCCCCGCTGCAATTGCTCTTGAGTGAACTTGTGGGTTTGTTCTGTTATTATTGCTCCTCTCTGCACTCATACCCTGACAGCGGAATGAGGGCGGGGGTCAAGATCCGCCACATCCTTAGCAGACCAGTAACAGAGAGCAGCCAGTTTATTAACCAGGGCCAGAGCGGCGGTGACATGGGCAGTGGGGAGTGGTGGTCTGGCCTTTTATTTCTGAATGAGTTTCCACCTCCCCTACCTCTAAGGCCCAGGGTTGCAGAATGGATCTGCACCAGCCCTAGAGCCCCAGGCAGAACCATCCCCCCTCTCCACCCCCATCCCCCGCCCAACCCGCCCAGCACCAGCCTCAGAGACGTACATCTGGGGCCAAGTAGGGAGACCACAGCATCACTACATCTCTGCCACTTCCACACAGAGCCCCACAAACCTCACCAAGATGCAGACACACACACAAACACACACACACATACACACCACCGCTGGGCAGCCACAGGTATGCCAATCCATGGGAAGCTGCAGTTCTGGGTAAAGTGGGTAAAGTGGAGGGGTGCAGGGTCTCACCTTGGGGTACAGGACAGGGTTGAATTTCAGCCCCACCGCGTCATCACAGAAAGCCTGGTAAGAGAGAAACAGCGGGAGTTTTCCACAGCCCTGTCCACAGACTACATCTGGCTCGTCTCCCCACCGAGAGAACGCAGCAAGGGAGGGCAAGACACAAGGGGTCAGGCCTTCATGAGCATGTGCCCAGGCAAGATGACCAAGCTCAATGGAGTTTCCCAAGAACAAGAGGGAAGGGGCAAGATGAAGCTGCACACCTCTTTCCACTGTGACCCCAGGAAAATGGCCTAAGCCTATCCTGCCCCAATTCCCACTGCTGGGGTATGACCCGATCCTGCCTGGCACTGCTGCACCCAGAGCACAGGGCCCTCACCATTCAGCCAACCACTCTTTGTCCTAACTTGCTCCCAAGTTCCTGGGTATCCTCCCACACCAGTAGCATGGACTCACCACCAGCTGCCTGCTGCTCACGCCGGAGGATATGCTGCTCTGGACCAACAGCCTGCCATCCCTCAGCCCAAAGTCTCCCTTGGTCATCCCCCTCGGCCCATTCCAGCCCTCTCTATCCATTTGTCTTGTCACCTGCACTAGCAGTGACGGACTGGGGACAGGGACCATGAATTCCAACGCTGCTCCCCAGAGCAGCCTCAGCATCGAGGACAAGTGAGGGAGGGTGTAAGGAGGATGAAGGGGGAACAAAGAGGCGTCTCCTCCAGCAACCATGCTCGGTCTCAGAACCCACAGAGGACATTACCGTCTGCCCCAGGGGTGCTGAGTCAGAATCGACTCAACAGCAGTGACGTTGAGAGGAAAAGTGAGGCGGCTGCCAACAGCCCTTCCCCCACCCTCCATCCATGCAGATCAAGGGCACAGTGCAAATAAGCATGCCCCTCCTCAAGGGCATAGCCCACCCACAGACAAGTCACCTGCAACCCCACCTAGGCGCCAGCCCAGGCTGTCTGAGGTGACGGTTTTTACCTTTGCAATCTGAGGGACACTGGGCAGCTTGCTGAGTCCAGCCAAGGGGATCCGCTCATGCACGGTCTTCACTTTGGACCTGCATGGGGGAAGAAGGGAGGGAAGGGTGCCATTAAGAAACGGGGCCAACAAGGAAGGTGTCTGAGATCACACCAGACGGTATTCAATGTACCTGGCTTCATGCCTCTCCAGGTCATTACGGCCAACCTCTCAAGTGGACGGAGGAAGGGAATCGATAGAAACCCACTTAGGGCCCCGAGGTGGCCCACCTGGTTAGGCCTCCATCCACGAGCCCAGAGGCTGGTGGTTCAAACCCAGAGGATCTCGGAAGACCAGCCTGGCTTTCTACTTCCAAAAGATGCCCAGCTTGGACCCTTTGGACAGTTCGGCCTTGTCCATACAGAGTTACCGAGGACTGAGGTCAAACCAGCAACAAGTTGGTACCCTGTTGGGGAGGGGACCACTTGAAAGAAACTGCCTGGGAAGTCTGTCTGCCACTGACTTCGTCTTCCACCCAAACCAGGCTCCCTGGATCGAGTCGATCCCGATGGACAGAGACCCTGTAAGACGGGGTAGAACTGCCCTTGTGGGTTTCCAAGACTGGAACTCTTTTCTTTGTTTAATCATTTTATTGGGGGCTCGTACAACTCTTATCACACTCCACACACCCATCCATTGTGTCAAGCACATTTGTACATTTGTTGCCATCATCATTCTCAAAACATTTGCTTTCTACTTGAGCCCTTGCTATCAGATCCTCATTTTTCCCTTCCCTTCCCACATCCCTCCCTTACGAACCCTTGTTAATTTATAAATTACTATTATTTTGTCATGTCTTACACTGTCCAATGTCTCCCTTCACCCACTTTTCTGTTGTCTGTTCCCCAGGGAGAGGATTATATGTAGATCCTTGTGATCAGTTCCCCCTTTCTCCCCCCACCTTCCCCTTACCCTCCTGGTATCGCTACTCTCATTATTGATCCTGAGGGGTTCATCTGTCCTGGATTCCCTGTGTTTCCAGTTCCTATCTGTACCCATGTACATCCTCTGGTCTAGCTGGATATGTAAGACAGAATTGGGATCATGGTGGTGGGGGAAGCATTAAAGAATTAGAGGAGAGTTGTATGTTTCATCGTTGCTACATGCACCCTGACTGGCTCGTCTCCTCCCCTTGGCCCTTCTGTAAGGGGAAGTACTGGAACTCTTAACCAGAGTAGAAACCCTCATCTTTCTCCTGCGGAGCGACTGGTGGGTTCGAAATACTGACCTTGGGATTAGCAGCCCAACTCATAGCTCACTGCGCTAGCAGGGCTCCTTGACATATTCTTGGGAGATGCAAGTCTTGGCCTTCACCGTCACCATGATGACTTTGTTTTGTCTGTGGGGGGTTTGTGTTCCCCCAAAGAAGCAGGCACAATCTTTCTGGATATATTTGGGCTCTGACATATCACTGAAAAGGGGAAAACTAATATTCAAAAACCTGGGTTCATTCAAAATATAAATAGGATGGAAGTGTGCTTTCTAAAGGGATTCACCATAAGTCTCTAAATTTAGCCTGTTCCCCTGATTCATTTAGCACATTATGAAAGTGTTGGATTTTACTGCTTTTCTGCATCTGCTCAGACAAGCATGTGGCTTTGAATCTGTTAACCCTGATGCGTTACATTTCTGTGGAACTGTCTTCTCATTCTGTGGGGAAACCTCCGCTTGGTTCGGCTGGATTATGTTTAATATCCTACTAAATGGAGTGTGTTAATCCTTTATTTAGACTTTCACATCTATGTTCAAGAGCAACTGTAGCCTCTTTTAAATGTTCTTAGACTTCTTTTGACAGGTTTTGACATCAAGGTGTTACTCTGGCCTCGTAAAATTGCTGCGCATTCTGTGAAATAGTTTGACGAATATAAGGATTATCTGCTTCTTAGAGAATTTGCTAAGGCTTACCGGTGAAACGTACAGACCTGCTATTTTGGGAGGAGAGGGAGGATGGGATACTTTGGGCTACCAATTCCGTCCTGTAATGATGAATGGTTAGATAGCCTACTCGTTACTGAGTTAATTGGGGTCATTTATGTTTTTCTATAAAATGACTCATCTAATGAATCATTAATAAAGTTATTTGTGGCATTCGTGTATGGGATCATCGTTATCTGTGACCGTGCGCCTTCCTTCAATGCAACACACTCTTGATGTGTATTTGTTCTTTCACCGGACATTTTATTACTCTCTTTCAAACGGATAGAGTTGAGTTTTGTTAATCATCTCCTTTTTCTTTGTTTTAACTTTTGCTATTTCACGCTTGTTCTTGCCTTATTTTCCTTCCTTCTGTTTTCTTCAGGTTTATTATATTATTCTATTTCCAACTTCCTGCGCTTCGTGCCGACTCATTTGATCTTCCTCTCCATTTTACAAATGCACTTAAAAGGCAGCATCTCTCCCCAAGTACCACTTGGGCGACGTCCCACACAGTACGAGAGGTAGCACTGGTCCCCCGCTGCTGAGCCCTAACTATTCTGTCAGTTCTTCCACGGTTTCCTCCTCGGCCGACGAGCTAGTTAAAAGGGTTGTCTTTTCTTCTTTAATTTTCCAAAGGTATTGAGCTTCTTCGTCACTCTTTTCAACATTGAGTTCCAATCTAATTGTCTTACAATTGGAGAACCGGATCCACGGGATAGTAATTATTTAAGTTTGCTGCCTTTGTAGATGGACTTTTTTCCTGAGAGTTTGAAAAGTGTGTCTTTCTCATCCCGAGTGCAGGAACACATAGGATCAAGTGTGTTCACCCCAATCTAATTCACCATAGATTGTTTTAAAAGATCAAATGTGTTCATTGATTATATTGTTCAAATTCTATAGGCTCATAATTTTGTGTCTGCGTGATGCACCTGTTTCTTGGATAGGTGTCAGAATCTATGTGTCTATTAAACGTGTTTCTAGTTCTTCTTATACCTCTGTCAGGCCTTGCTTTTGCTTTCATTCAAGACTGTTTGGTTTGGGGAGTCACGGATGGTTCAGTGGTAGGAAGTCTGTTTTTTTTCTTTTTCATTCTGGTACAATTTATTATCCGTTCCCTATTTTCCCCCAACCACCCCTGCCATATCCCTAAGGAACTATTGATCCAGTTACAGTCTCTATAGCTTTACCTATCCTGGATTTCATAGAAAAACATACAAGACAAAGAACAGAAAAACTTCACTAGAAAATAAATCTAAACTAGAGCAAATTTTAAATCAGCCAAAAGAGAAAACAAACGATAAGGTGTTAAATGTTCATTTAATGGCACCTGCAATCATCCACCATCCAATGCACTGATAGCAAGGCTATTCACATCCCCAGTCCTTGCTCAGAGAGGATCCACCAGAGGTTTAATCTGCCTGGGGGGTCCTGCAAATAGATTTAGGGCTTTCACTGTCATCCACAGTCAATGCAAATCAGATGCTCAAAAAGCAGACTATAATACAGTTCCCTCCTCCAATCTTGGATTTTATTATTCACAACCTTTGGATCACACAGGCTGATGTGCTTCCTCCACGTGGACTTAGCTGACACCTCACTTTGATGGCTGCTTGTTTTAAGACAAGCCTTTAAGACCCCAGAGGCTCTTCTTTCTGATAGACAAGCAACAATCTCAGTTCTTCACAGCGGAAGAATTCTTGCCTTCCATGTGGGATAGTCAGGTTCAATCCCCGAGCCAATGCACCTCGTGGGCTGCCACCATTCCTCCCTCAGTGGAGGCTTGTGTGCTGCCTCCAGACTTCAAAAAAAAACTAGGAAGAAAGGCCTGGTGATCAACTTTTTTTTAAAAAGCACCAAAGACAAGGCCATGGTGGCATAATAGGCTACACCTGAGCTTCTAACCACAAAGTCCAGGCCATCCTCAGAGGAAAGCTGAGGCTGTCTCCTCTCATAAAGATTCAAAGAGTAGAAAGCTAACGGGGCAGTTGTACCCTGTCTGCTAGGGTTGTTATGAGTCAGAATCCATTCGACACCAGTGAGTGAGCATAGATCACAACAGTCCAGTCTATAAGCAAGCCCGAGGATGGCACAGGACTGGGCAGCATTTCATTCCATGGTACGTGGGTCCCATGAGTTGGGGTCAGACGTCAAGGACAGCTAACAGTGCGTGCTTCCTTTTTCATTCAAGACGGGCTCGTGGCTGTTAGATGTTCCAGGGGGACTGTTCTCTACCATCAGGTACCCTGAGGCTCGCAGACTCGCATCTTTCCCTGCCCAGGTTCTGAACAAATTAAGAGGAAGACAATAAAAATAAACTAAATAGTAAGGAGGTGGGAGCGAGGATCAAAATAACTCCTTGACAAAGGCCAATGGGGAGCATCTAGTTAGTATGAAGACAAAATGGACCTCTAGCTGAACCCCAGGACTACCCGCCCCGTTACAGCACTGCTAGGCAGGAGCAGGCCGCCTCCTGTAAGGTCCGCTAAGAGAAGGCTTACAGGAGGGGTTGGGGTGTAGAAGACATGCCCTAAAGGTAACTAACTTCAAGAGAAAAAAGCGGAGGAAAATCAAGCAACATATGCCAAGGGCTTGCTCCAAATGTCAGCTATCACCTCCCAGGGGAGAGGCGAGTGAGAGAGTGGAAGAAGCCCGGGTAGTACACAGGGCATTCCCCCCAGGGACCATCAGGAGTGGGGAAGAAGGATACCCAAGTTATAAAGCGGTTAGTTGTCTTCAAGCCGATGCTCCACAGGGTTTTCCAAAAGCTCCGCAGAAATCCATTCCGTGTCCTAGCAACCTGCAAGCTTCCACCAGGGATGGGCGTTGGCTGTGGGGGTGGGGGGGGGCACTGACCAGGACTCAAACCAGGACTCCTACCTGGCAGGCAAGAGTGCCACCGCTGAACCACTGGCACCTTCATGGTACTCCTCACTTGCCTTGATCCGTGGGTGCCTTTCAACCGTTCCCTTTATCTTTGATGTTGGTGCCTATCAGAAGGATTGTTTTTGCTTTAAAACTGTGCTCGGCACCATGGGCATCCTTCGTCAATTCAGGAACACTCTTGGAATACTTCTCCACGCGTTTCTCTCTCTCTCTTTTTTTCCTTGCTGGAACTCCTTAAAG